TTATTTAGACAAAATAATACTTCATTATACTTTTCTAAATATTTTAATTAATAATAATTTTTCACTGAATTTTTCTACTCTCTTAATAAAATATTATCGAAATATTAATGAAATTATAATGAAATTTTAATGAAATTGGGTCAAAATTGTGAATGCTTTTCAAACATATTTCAGCAAAAGTTCATTATATTTTCAATGAATTATTTCCATCAGATACAAATATCTCAATTGAGATCTTACATGCGAAATTTTGCGGAAACCTCAACTGAGAATTCAATTGAGAATTTAATTGAGAATTCAATTGGGAATTCAATTGTGATCTCAATAGAAATTTTTCAGTAGGGTAATTATCAATGATTCTTAGTATGATATTTCTATAAGGGTATTATATATCAAATTTGTCCATTCATGTTTATACATTCTATTTATATATATAATCATGTATAATTATATATATAAATTAATATATAATTTTATATAATTACCCAGATAGAAAAATTATGTCATGTTGCGCTCAGCACGCGCTCATATATTGACGTGGATGATTGCAAAAATGCATACAAATGCGTGCGCATATGCTGCTCATATGTCGTTCATGTAATGATGATCAGAAAAATATCTCATCTAATAATATTATGATAACAAAACTTAATAGACTAGACATATTCGTATATCATTTGTATACATCTTGTGCTCATATCATGTTAATCACATAATGATCTTTAAAAAGGTATCAAGGTGAAATCACAGTATGATATCACATTATGATGAAACGTGATCATCACGCATTTCTATCTGGGTACGCATAGATTTATATGTAATTATACATATTGTTATACATAATTGTGTATACCCACACAGCACAGGGGTGTATATCAGTTGGACACGGGGCAATTGGACACAGTCCAATCACAAGTCGCTGTTCCAAGGGACCCTACAAATGTTTCTAATCACACGGTGCTGTGATTGGCAGTGTCCAAATGCACCGTGTCCAAGTGCACCGCTCCCGTCACCGATCACGTCGTGGTCACCACTTATGGCGTAGGCTAAAATATAGGTGTCGTAATATACATTATAATTTTTGGATTATATATTTATTCGTTATTAATACAAAAGTATCTTAGCACAAGACTTTATTCCGGTAGGAATCTCTCGAGAGATCAGGTTAGACTCATTCTCTTTCTTATTGGCTAACGCTTAACGGCTACGGTGGCGCACTCATCGGACAGTCCACTATAGCGCCACAATTGACAGGTAACAGAATTTGAAATTTTGCTGTACTATAATAATTTATTGTTTTAAGTTTATACAAATGTTCTTGTATTATATGTTTTGATTACAATAAACTATATTAACATTATTAAAATAGATTGAGACAGCGGGTGTTTCCGATAATACCTCTTTAAGTCATTTTCCTAGAGCAGAAATGAGTTACAGACATCACCATCTACTACTATTATGTGATTCATGACAACCCAAAACTGCCTAAGGGTGTTATTTCGGGTGTATATCAGTTGGACACTGGGCAATTGGACACAGTCCAATCACAAGTCGCTGTTCCAAGAGACCCTACAAATGTCTCTAATCATACGGTGCTGTGATTGGCTGTGTGCAAATGCTCCGTGTCCAAGTGCACCGCTCCTGTTATTTCACGTGTTATACGACAAGTTTTTCGGATACGTTTATTGGTTGGCGAATAGAGTATTTCTAGGTTCTCTGTTCGTCAACCAATGAGCGTATCCAAAAAGCTTGTCGTACGACACTTGAAATATCAGCCTAATGTTGTCTTATGACTGGAAGCAGTGGATTAGACAGAACAATACCGCGACAAATACACGAGATAATAATTTTGTAAAATTGTATTATTGATTATAAAATTATCTAGTGTTATTTTCTAATAAAATTTTAATTATTCTTAATTAAAGAGTTATATAACCATTAAAATTATATTTTTCAAATATTATCCTAAAGTAAAAAGTCACACTGTTTTAACCAACCCAGATAGCCAAACCTGCGCGAGCAGATTTTGAGCAGAGCTTGCTATCAACTTTTGATGGTAAATAGATAATAAATTTGATGCAGGATCTGTTATATCAAATCTTGCTGCCAAATTGCCGCCAGATATGTGGCAGAGCTTGTTGTCGGATAATTGCTGCAGATTTGCAGCAAAAACCGCGCAGAGCTTGTCGCGATTTGACGGCAGATTGGCGGCAGAAACCGCGCAGACCTTGCTGCGCTGCAAGCTTTGTGCGGTTTTTGCTGCAAATTTGGTACCAATTGCCCGACAGCAAGATTTGTCGCCAAAACCGTAGCCTAATGTAGACACAGATGGCCATGGTTTTGCTGTGGGTTTTTAATCAAATTTGCTGCTAATCTGCGCGCAGTCTGCGCTCAATTTGCTTACTGGGTATTTGCAAAGTATTGTTTTTACATGACTCGTGCATGTGCAAGTCCACTATAAATTATGCCATTAGGGTATCTTGATAACAAAACAAGATAGATTTGTTTGCACAGTTTGTTTTAAATTGTATGTAATTCTACAATCGTTTCTTAATGTTACTATTTTTTTTAACATTATTTAAGTTATTTCTTTTATACTTTAATACTCATTACAACTAAACATTTTTAGATAAAAAATGTATGTACTAGAAATATGGGAAATATTTTTTGATCACCTATCTGATGAAGATGATGAGGATAATTTCCAACCTCCACGTGAACATCATATAAAGATCCCACATTTTTTTGAAAACATTGTCGTAGAATGTTCATTAACAGGTAAAAGAATTTGAAATTTTGCAGTACTATAATAATTTATTCTTTTAAGTTTATATAAATGTTCTTGCATTATATATTTTGATTACAATAAACTATATTAACATTATTAAAATAGATTTTAAATCTATCTTGTTTTGTGTCATCAATATACCCTAATAGCATAATTTATTGTGGATCTGCACCTGCACGAATCATGTAAAAACAATACTTCGCAAATATGTTAAAACAGTGTGATTTTTTACTTTAGGATAATATTTGAAAAATATAATATATATTTTAATGGTTATATACCTTTAATTAAGAATAAATAAAATTTTATTAGAAAACAATACCACATGATTTTATAATCAATAATACAATTTTACAAAATTATCTCGTGTATTTGTCACGGTATTGTTCTGTCTAATCTACTGCTTGCAGTCGTGAAACAGCATTAGGTAGCTTTGGGTTGTCATGAATCATATAATAGTAGTAGATAGTGATGTCTGTAACTTATTTCTGCTCTAGGGAAATTGCTCGGAGAGGTATTATCGGAAACACCCTGTGGGTGCTTACTAGGGATGTGCAATACAATATCGATATTGCAAATATCGATATTTGGCAGCCGATATTTCGATATTTTGTATCGATATTTTGTCCAACGATATTTGCATGTATCGATACTAAACTCCAGAATATCGACTATGTATCGATCGACCAGAAAATGACGTTAGGGCAAGATTTTCATATATTACTACTATATTGCTAACTGAGAGAGAGGTTCCGTCCCAACACCACAGTGGGGGAATATATTTCCTATTTTTTCTAAGTTTACTATTTTGAATGTTATGCGCATGCGTCGGATTGATCGTGTCCGCCAATAGGAAAGTAGATTGGTATGTTCAATCTAAGGTTTGTTCTTTCGCTCTGCACTGCTACACTAGTGCAATAAGTGCAGCAGTGCAGCGCGAAAGAACAGACCTCTTGTCCGAGTGGAGTTTATGATATAGGCTGTGTTCCAAAATTACTGACAGCGCTAAAAATCTATAATATACGTAACATGAACTATAGCTTTTCAGCGCTGGAAGTGAATATTGGAACACAGCCATATTATTGAGGAGTAATGGCGTAGAGCCGCTGAATGTCAAGCGAGCTCAGCCATTCTATTGAAAACTGAATTGATATATTATTGAAGTGAAGTGATGATATATATTTAGTAATGGCGTATAGACACTGAAAGAGCTTCATTATTAGTTTCATTATTATAGAAGAAGAAGAAGAAGACACTAAAAGAGGAGTGCTCTCAGCCATTCTCGAAAAATAAATTCTCTCATTGGACCATCAGCTGCGTTCCGAGGGAGCGGTGCACTTGGACACGGTCGATTTGGACACAGCCAATCACAGCACCGTGTGATTAGAGACATTTGTAGGGTCCCTTGGAACAGCGACTTGTGATTGGACTGTGTCCAATTGCCCCGTGTCCAACTGATATACACCCGCGTTCCGACATCCAACTCCGACATACGGCGTATTGTGTTCCGGGCCTAATGGCTTTCGCAGACCAACGCAATGCGCAACGCAACACGCGATATGCGACGAGCGATATCCAATCAGTGTACTGGTATTCCGATAAAACTGTATGCTCATTGGATGTCGCGTGTCGCAAATCGCGTCGCGCATCGCGCTGGTCTGCGAGAACCAAAAGTCCTATTGCTTCAGTTATTTTGTGTGCCATGGCCTTTACTGTTACAGAAAGTGTGTGTGGTGAGCATTAGGTCTGTTCTTTTTAGCTACACTGCTGAACGAGTGCAATAAGTTGAAGTGAGACAAACATACTTTCTTTCATTCTAACTTATTGCATTAGTTCAGCAGTGCAGCTAAAAAGAACAGCTCATTTATTCTTTTATTGATACGTTCGATATTCACTGTATCGATACTTCACGGTCGATATATTTGGTGTATCGATATTTTGTCCCACGATACGATATATCGATATTTTCTTATCGATACAACATCTCTAGTGCTTACCATATCGAGTGCAGAGCAAGTGAGAGGAAGTATCTATTCCCATTTACAGCTAATATATTTTATGGCTACTCTTGCTTTGTTCTGTTCTGTCTTTTATCCACAGGAACAATATGACTGCGTCGAACGACACAATTGATGTAGCATACGTCTACGTCCCCTAACAGCACAAGTCAATTCTGAGAACGTTCTACGATCATCGGAAAAGTAGATTGCGTATATTCTCGTAACAGTCGAAATAAGTACTGCGATAACTGTAATACATACTAGGAAACTTCCTATGTCTCGCGTAGTCTAATTCATAGTATATACTAAGAATATCCCGCATTATGTATATAGAATGGGAACGGTCAGAAAACGGTATCAGATGGGTGTATATCAGTTGGACACGGGGCAATTGGACACAGTCCAATCACAAGTCGCTGTTCCAAGGGACCCTACAAATGTCTCTAATCACACGGTGCTGTGATTGGCTGTGTCCCAATGCACCGTGTCCAAGTGCACCGCTCCCGTATCAGATACGCATACATATACACAGGCGCACGCTTCACATGTACATTGGGTTAGATTAGGTTAGATATTATTGATTGTTTTCTTTTATATATAATAAAACATTTATTTATATTTCCATTTGTTATATACATTATATTGTTATTAAATATATTAATGAAAATAACTTTTAAATTAAATATATTAATTAAAATATTAATTAAAATAACATCAGAAGATCCAATAAGGCCAGTGTGCTTAACGTCAAAAATGTAATTTGTATGACTGAGCAGTTGCATTAGTAGTTTGTGCCGACGCCTCTTCGGACGTACATTCTATTTCGGTAATATCGTTCAGTGGTTTATGGTACCATTATTGCACCAATATATTGCAGCATCAAGATGTCCTTTTATTTTACTTTTACATTATTTGCAGTCTTCAAATTGCATAGCAACTAAGGATTTTCATCTTGAAATTTTAAACCAAATATAAAAAAACCAACAAAAAATATTTTTTTTATAAAATATTGTATTGTAAAGGACAGATAAGAAACGCTTATTATCCTTTAAAAAAGAAAACTTTTAAAAAAGGATATGAAATAAAGATTGAAATAAAAATAAAAAACGCAATGTGACAAGAAACAAAAAATTATATAACAAAGAATTGTAAAACAGATGAAAAGCGAATATCATCTTTTACCAAAGGAAACTTTAGAAAAAAAATTTGAATAAAAATAAAAGAGCAATGAAACAAGATTGTCACAAAATCAATTTATTCTTGATCTTGATGTTCATCTTGGTTTTCATGTTGATTTTGGTTTTGTCTGCCTATACGTTCCTTACTATGGGCTAACCAGATCTTAACTGGAGCTGAGATCTGGTCATGAGACGCATCTAAATGTACTTTTCTTATGACATCTAGAAAATAAGACATATTTTTATTACTTCTTTATAAATTCTTTATAAATACAAAATATTTCTTATAAATTAAAACTAATATCATCAGTATTATGTAAATGAAGTAACATTTTATGCTATATTTATTATATATAGAAAAGAAAGAGTTGCAAAATATTAATATTTGTAAATATTAATATTTGTATCATTAATTTTACGAACAAATGCTGCAAATATTTATAATACTATAAAAATATTTGTCAAGTCACAAACAACGTAACGTTCATAAGTAAAAAGTGTAGATTGCTTTTAAATATTTTATTTTCATAATTTTAATATTTCATAATTTGCAGATATTTAAAGTTGAAAAATTTTGCTTCTTTTTGGCTCCAAACCAACTATATTTTATAGCGAGTTGGTTGGAAAATATAAATCTCATTAGTCGAATGCAAGAAGTTTTCATACATCCGCTCCTCAAACGTGCCAATTGTTTAATCTAAAATAAAAACAAATTTGTATTATTAATAATTATTATAAAAGTATATAATATAGATATATGAAAAAATTATAGTTAAAATTAGTGAGCAGCTACTCTTAGGGGGGGG